CTTCATCTTGTTCTGTTGTTGTCGTCACATGTAGAACATTTGATCATGTTTTTGTCATGCGTCTTAATATGCTTTTTGATCATTTGATCTCAAGCAAAAAACATGATAAATTTATGGGGGTTTTATTTCTGTTTGGGTAACTCTTGTCTGGAAAGATGTAGCACTACAATTTTACTTTACAGGCCAGAATAATGAGCATTTAATAAACAAACCCACAAACTGCACAAAGTTACATATAAACTTTCTGAACAGACTACATAAATGACAAAATAAGAAAAATGTGATGGGGGGAAAAAGATAACAGCGGTTAAAATTGGTAGTTCTAAAACCTTATCTATTTGTTATGAACATAATAGATCTAATTGTTTTAGGACGTTTTTTTCTCTCTTTGCATGGAGACAAAACTAGTTACTATAGACTGAAACAACAACCAGTAATAAAATTATCATCATTTAGCAATAATTGCTAAAGCTATTTATTGCTTCAGCACATTTTCTACAGCCACGTTACCTGAGAGTAGTATTATTGCTAACTTATGGTTATTTGAACCAAATCTGATGTCAATAATCAAAACAGTCAGAAACTATTTGCTTTTATAAAACATCATATAATCATACAAACAAAAATAAATTTACTGTGCACGAATGAAATATTATACAATAAATAAAGCGTTCATACACTGAGACAGAACTTTCCCAGAGGGTGACAGACAGATATTGAATGGTGCAGAGACTGCTGGGGAATATAAAGAAGTCATCCTGCAAAAAAATAAATAAAAAAAAATTCTGACATGTCAGCATCAATAAAACCTCGGTAACTTTACCTGCTGGGCGAAGAGGTTCAGAAATCTCCTTCAGAAAGTGCATTGCATATGTAATGAGACAGTCTGGAATAAATTTATCAGCACATATATAGTAGGAGAGTCTGGAAAATGGAGCATGTACACTCAAAAGGTAAAAATTATTCTAAACTAATCTCAGCTCTTTGGACAAAGCAAAAAGCTGCTTTGTGGCTGATAATCTAAGTCACCCAGTTGTTTCTTACAGAGATACCTGCTGAACTGCCTCCTGTTTGAACTTTTATTTTATTAGTGGGTCAGGAGGGAGAAGTGATTTTTCATCCCTAACAAAGTCACAGTGGAGTCAGAGAGCTCTTTGCCGGATCAGAGCAATAATTTACGCAGCTGGGTGCCTCTCTTCTCCACAGCTCGCTGAAGAAAGAAGAACTCCCACCAACCACCCTCTGATTCTGAGCGAAATTCACTTTGCTTTCCCCAGACGTGGCAATTATTTTCTGTAAAATTGTAATTTGTTACATATGTGATTAAGTAGCCAGAGTCTGAGAGCATCAGATCACAACACTTAATGGAAATATTGATCTGAAGAGAGAGATGAGTGAATTACCACAGCCTCATTGCAAGCAGTGTGACTCCTGGTGAGGTGGCTTGGCCTTGCAGGTGGGGCTGTCCTCAGGATTTCCTCGTTGAAGTAATGGTGTGGAGTCCATTAGGTTAGCCCTAATACCCTGCTGATGTTGTGTGAGCGGTGTGTAACACCCCATTTCCTTGCGTGAGCTTCATATTAGCATCTGTCACCTCGTTGTAATACCGTCTTCTGTCTTGAAATAGCGCCTGAGAGTGGAGCTGAATGTTAAGCTCGCTAAAATGTTGATGCAAGTTTTCGCTCATGTCCAGTCTCATCCCAGTTTCAATTCGACCAATCACAAGAGATCAGAATCCGACCTTCTTGCTGCCAAGACAGATTACCGACGGCTGTAATCTGAGTTATCATTATCAGCAAACACAGACCAATAAATCCACATGCTCCTTTTCTTTTCTTTTTTTTTTCTTTTAAACCTCAAATCTGATTTATTTGAGTCCCTGAGCAGATGTCTACAATGGTTTTGATCTTTCCTTCACCTCAGGACACTCAAGGATGTGGAATGAACTGTGAAAGTGAGATATACGATGATAAAGTATTCACAGCATTTTGCATTTTCATATTTTGTTCAAGCACAAATTTGACAGAGTTTCTTCCAGAACAGCCACATTTTCAGCTTCATTCATGCTAAAGATAAACAGCCACTCTGTATGTTTCTCCCTGTGAAACCTGGGTGCCATTCCCCCACGTTTCGCTGTGGGAATGTTGTGTTCAGACTCATGCACAATTAACTCTAAATCCAACAAGCTCAGTTTTGTTTCATCAGATGGGAACAGTGTGTCCCCATTTTTTTTTCTTTTTGTCCCCTATGAGTTTTAAATGGTTTTTGTGTTTTGTTTTTTTTCAGCTGTTGATCTCTGCAAGGCCTTTTCAGATTTGCCATGACTTCCTGGTTGCTTTTCTGATTAATGCTAACCTTGGCCAGCCTGTCATTTCTGGTGGATGTCTGCATCTTGAGCCTTTTGCAGTTATGCCATTTTTGGATAATGGACTGAGCATCACTCTCCTTAAAATGTTCAAAGCCTGGCATGCTATTTATAATGATCCAGAGTTAAGTTCACACAAATGACCGGTTTTCATTTTGTGGCTGAAAGACAAGGAATTCACACGCAACTGGATCTGCTGCTGGATCTCTGACAGCCGGGCTTTCCCACTAATTCACCAACTAAAGTCAACTGAGCTCATCAAATTGTCACAGAAACTGTCACAAGAGCGACAGTTTGGAGAAACAGACAGACCACTAGGTGGCAGTAATGGGGGATATTGTCAGAATTTGTTTCTGTGCCATTCCCCTATAATGGGAAAGAGATGAAATTCAGATTATGTTAAATTTAATGGGGAAGTAAATATAAATTGAATGTTGTTAACTGTATTCCTTGAGTTTGGTGTTTCTTAAGGACTACTAAATGTCTTAATTTTCCAAATCATGGTGCATATCTGCCTGTGATCTGCCAAGTATGCTCGCTCATTTGAATGTGGAGGACAGATGTAGCGCCAATGCATCAAGATGAAGAAATTAAAATATACACACCACCAGCTTCCAGTTTCTACATTTTGCTTATTTTTTTGAGGTTTTAGTCAGCGTGAATAGTGACTTTTATTTGCGAGGAATGTTGTTTTAATCACCAAGAAAATAAAATACAGTTAATTTATATCATTTTTATTCACTACATTTTATTGGGATAATGTATTTATTTCTGTTAAAGACATTTTTCATACAATTAAATTATGCTCTGCAGGAGAAGAATTAGCATGTGATTTATTCACCAGGTTTGTACAGCTTTGCTCGCAGCGAACAGATTTAAAATATAAATATACATATAAAACAATTTGCAGACCAAACTTTTCAGATTTTTAATATTAATATCAGCAATATGTAAAAGCCTGTGACATTTCCGTCCCACTTGACAGCTGTGCTACAAGCTTGTGTTGCTCTGTTACATAAAATCCTAATAAAATAAACTGAGGGTTGTGGTTTTAACTTAACAAAATGCAAAATAAATTATATTTACTCAGCATCAAGGGTTCTTATCTTTCTATTTACTGCTTCATCCATCCATCCATCCATCCATCCATCCATCCCATCAGCCTGAGCTCTATTTGCTGCACCACCCCAGGAAACATCATACAATGACTGGTCATTCATCCTTTATGAGCACAGAAGGAAAGTGAGGACACTCCTGTTGGCAGCTCATGACAGCCCCACCGCCCACTGACAGAGGCTTTATGATCATGCCACCACATGATACCTCAGAGAGCTGTGACAGGGGACATCCTCTCAGTGCCCAGCCTGAAGGAATGTGTTAGGACCAAAGCCAGCTGAGCGTATTTATACAGCTGGATTGATTGCATTGTTTGCTTAAAGCATCAGTCATTCTGCTTTTCTTTCCGCTTGGGAAGGAAAAGAGTACCTACTCTGTACCAGTGTGTTTTGGAGTTCTGCTAGCTAACTTCCCTGTTTGTTTTACATTTATCCACCATTCTGCTGTGATTTCTTGTCTCAGACGAGATTATTTGACAAAGGAATTTAGTCAAATAATCTATGCTGGCCTTCAAACTACCGATGTTTCCTGGTAGAAAGACAGCTGGAATAGTCACCGAGTGTGACAAATAACCTGCAGAATGCCACAACAGGTGTGTTCTCAAGCAGCTCAGTTGAAGCAACATTACCGACTGAATAGGTAATTTCTAGGGTGGGTTGGTCTGTGGAAACACACCTCAGATACTATTTTAATAAGATTGTACATGAAAAAAGGTAAATTACAAAGATCTGACTTTTAGTTTCACCAGTAAAAACGACCAAATCCTAAATTCAAAATAAAACAAAATGTGTACAGTCCATATTTTTCGACCAACTACTACCATCTTGGGGAGAATAATGACACTACAACAGGAAATTGCTCCAAATGGATTTTACTCAGTCTCTGCACCCTCATGCATAGCAATGGAGTTCATTATGCCACGTAAAGTTTGTAGAAATATTAAATTAACATCCACAAATAAGGAGTTTGTATTATTATGTGTAAAATTGTGATGTGCTGCACATCATTTCACTAATCTTAATGTTTGGTTTATTAAAATACGCTCATATGCTTTTATAGGCGATACATAGTAAGCTCGACACATTTTTTTTTAAATCTACCTTAAATAAATCCTGACATAAAAGCTAAACAGGAGTTTTAATTTTAGTTTTATAAATAAAACCACAGGTTAAAATTTATTTAAATACAAATAGTAATTTAGAAACACTGAATTATATTACTCACCTGAGCCGCAGGGGATTAACAAAATTAGAATGGGGACATAAAGAAGGATTATGGACACCATATTAAAGTATAATCTGGTAGTGTGAAAAAAACAAAAAAACAGCCAGAACCAGATTAAAGAAATACTTTAATGACATAAAGAATCTAAAAAAAAACTACATAAAAAACATGAAGCAACATGAAAAGAAACTTAATATTCACTCAGTGTTGTTAGTATTTGTGCAAATTTCAACAAGGAAAGAAAAATGTAACCACAGGGACTCATCATCAATATTCATCATCTGTCATTATTTGAATATAACTATTTTTATTTCACAATTTTACCTTATGAAAGAAGGCTTACAAACTTTTGAGTATTTGTTTACAGTTTAGAAAAAAAAAACATTTCAAAGCATGAAGACTTCTCGGAAACATTAGCACTGATTTTTCTCCCTGCATACGACTGAACACATTTATTATAAGCGCCATTTTGCTCTGTTAATACTCTCAAAAACACTCAGACATGTTAATCACAGGAAGTATTATTATCTCCTCAGTAGTAATTAAAAGTGTGGAATCAGCCCCCCTTATAAATAATAATCAGAACAACAAACAAACATCATCAATTTCTTTGCTTCACAAATTATCACAAATTGTGAATCTTCCATCCAGAACTAAGAAAATGCTTCCACTCAGGGATGAAAATAGTACAAAGTTAAAAAAGCTAAACAGACATTTTGTTTATATCAGGTTACATTTTTAGGGTAAAATTAAAACCTACTTATGCCTAAAAATGAAGTAGTTTTGATCACCAAGGTCAAGATCGTCACAATTTGTCTGCTGTGATACAAAAGCAGCGAATGTGTTCATAGTCTAAATGTTTTCGGAGGTACTTTATTTTCCTCATCAAAAGGTACAAAACAGTTTGAAATCACACTTACAAAAAAATACTTTGGCTGTCTTCCACAGCGAGAGCAGAAAGTGAAGGGTAAATGTGTTTGAGCCAGGTGGGCAAGTCTCTCCTTCAGATAATTTCCTAATTAAAACACAGGAAATTATCTGAGATTCTGAGGAAGGATAAAATCCACTAAAGACCCGCAGAACCCGGAGCCCGCCCCACAGTGGTGCCAAATCCCCATCGACTGTCAATGATAAAAATAATAAAACCCTGTTTGTGTGAGTTGGATCTAATGCCGCTCTGCGGTCACTACGCGCTCGGCTCAAATCAGAAAACACTCTCGATGACGATGAAAAATAAGAAACCAAAGTGATGGTAGCGCTCGAGTGAGCCGGAAATGCCACCGAAGCAATCCGAAAGTGTTAACGTTGATTCAGACGTCCTCTTCCTCTGAGTCCTTCACAGGGCAGAGGGTGAACTGACGCACAAAGTCATGTGAAAGGAGGCCTCCAGACACAAAGTCCTTCTCTGAGAAGGGGAGACGCTTCAGAAGGATGTTTTCAAGCTTCTCCGTACTCTCGCGGGACACCTCATCTGAACCAAGGGAGGCTCTATCAGGACTATTTTTAAATAAAGCTGAAGCGCTGCTCTGATCCCCCCAGCTGTGCTCACTCGTGGCATCGTGATCTGCCAGTGTTTGGCTCATCTCAACGTCCCCGCGCCCTTTGTGCCCATGTGTATTTACGCTCGTCTTAATTTCCAACTGCTGCCTTGTCCTGAAGGTATTTGAGTTTGTCAGCACTGGATCAAAGCTGCTTTCAGTGAGCTGACCAAGCTGCACCGATTCTATCATCGCCAGTTCTCCAGAAACTATTTCCTCATTGTCCCCTTCTCTGTTTTTGTTAGGGGTGAGTTTTATGCTCGGATCAACAAGAATACAGTCGGAGTCTCTTTCGCTGCTTTCTGTGTCAATATCTTCCTCAGATCCATCCTGCTCTATGTCTTCTTCCTCACAGGCTTTCTCATACAACTTCCTAGATTTTTTCACAGGAGTATCAAATATCACTCCTCTGGGAGCAAGAGAACTGAGGTTTCTGCGACAGAGGCCGTTGTACCCTGAGGAGCCGAGCTGCCGTTCGGGCTGTCTCAACATGTAGACTCGGACTGACTCGGGCACATGGACGTCTTGGCGTTTCTTGTGCGGCAGTAAGGCAGACAGGCCTCCAGGTAGGCAGCTTCCAACAATGGGTACAAGGGACGAAGGTCTGAGCGCCGAGACAAAATCCTCCAGCTCCTGGTAGGAGGAGTGGTCTGAATATGGCACTACGTAGACGTTGGGATGGAAGGAAATGAGAGGTCTGCTGGTGGGTAAGATGGCCAGTGTGGGTTGTTCTTTGTTCCACTCATGCAACACCGCTGAGCAGATCTTGGACTGGTCCACCACTCGGATGCGGCCGGCCCCGGGCTCAGTGGTGAAGATGTCAGGAAGCTCCAGAGCTCTGAGGGTCTCCATTCTCTCGAAATTCACTTCAATCCAGGTCTTAAACTCCATCGCCAGCTCAACCAACAGAGTCTCCTTGCCCAAAGAATAAATGCCTGTGAGACAGAAAAAAATTTTAAAAATCAATGGTTTTGACAAATCTGATGTGACTTGATCAGGTCTCCACAGAAACAATGATTTGGATTTAATTTCTCATAGTTTCTATCAGTTTTCACCATTTTTTTTTTAATTTCTCATTAACTGCTAATTTCTTACATAATATTTTTAATTAATAAAGCAAGTTAAATATAATGTTATGTGGGTAAAGTACTATTTGTGTAGCTCTGATATGACAACTAAAACTCTACTTTGAGGTCTTTTGTACACATTAAGCTTCATAACAATTAATCTTGATAAGTTTGCATCAACTACAAACAATCCTGATATCAAGACAAACTTGGTTAGATATTGACTATTTTCATAACAAACCAGCTCAATGTAAATAACAAGAATTACATGTAATCTCCCTATACATGCTTTAATAGGCCAGCTTATGGAGAATATTTTTCTACAAGTTAGTCAAGGCTTAATGTTAAACTTAAAACTCTCTTAGACGTGATGGTTAACGCTCTTCATCAAGTGCTCTATTGTCATCCCTTAATTCTTCCCCCTGGATTACAGGACATGTTAAATGTGAATGCTGCCAATAATTTCTCAAAAGAAGCAATTAAAGAGCAACTGTCAACATTTTGCTAACTGTAAAGGTAAATTAGGACATTGGATAGTAGATATTAAACTTATTTAAAACTTCTTAAGGGCTAAAATTGAAATATCCTACACTAAAGTTTGTAACATTACCATGACGATTTGCAAGAAAAACTTCCAACGCATATCAAGGACTTGTAAGCACATCTGATCAGATAAGAGCTTATTTTTTGGGCCGTGTCATTTTCTGTGTAAACTCACCTATAACAACGTTGTGGTCGGGGTTTCTGCGGATGATCTCTTTTATTTGCTGAGTGGCTTTCTGTCTGGATGGCAGAGTGCGGTTGGGGTCACAGTTGGTGTTGTCCAAGTACAGAATGTCTATGGTTGTGTTGGTCCTTAAACATGGCTCACGCAGCATCGAAGGAGTGTATCTGAAATCACCTAAAATACACAGTTCAAAGTTTTAAATGTAAACCTAGAGTAACCACACAATTGGACAGAAAAGAAAAACAGTGGCATCAATGAAAGACATCAAATTCCTGTAAAGAGCATACGGACCAGTGTAGAGAATTGCCCCGAAGTAGCCCTCAAAGAGAAACATGACAGCTCCAGGACAGTGGTTGGCATCTATCAGTGTGACGGTGAGCTTCTCCTTGCCTATGTCATCCAGAGGGAGCAGGTATGGCTCACACAGCTCCAGAGGATGGATCCATTGTTCTTTCACCTGAACAGGAACCAGAATGGTGAATAAAATGGGTTCAGTAAGAGTTCAAAGAACGTAGAAGAAGTCAGTAATTTAGCAAATAAAAGCTAAATAAGGTGAAAAATAAAACAGAAAACAAGCGGGACTGACAATAAGCTGGAATCTACTGAGAAACTCACTAGTCTACTGTTACTTTATGCTCACTTGCTTTGGTCCATCTGTGCAGTTGTGCGGCAAACATATATTGACATACATTATTTACATGCAGAATGTCACCAACCAAATATTACAAGCAGTCCTTTGCAATTGTGTATTGTAGACACGTACAATTAAGACAGAGGCTGTGACTCGAAAATTTAAGTCGAAGCATGTTATTGCATGTATGTTATATTATAACATTTTAATAAATCGATGGAGCTTTAAAACTCTAGTTTCAAGACAATGCATTGTGATGTGTGTTTTTTTAAATATACATATATCAAGCCAGTGGATTTTGTCTTTCTTGTTTTGGATTAAGTGTGTACATTAGGTTCCAGTGTTAATGCGTGCGGATGGTTCTCTCCTCCTCACCTGCAGTTTGAGTCTGAGCAGGGCGGCAGTGACGGGGGAGCAGTAGATGGGTCGGTTGCTCCAGGTGGAGGTCAGACCCACCGTGTGGTCGCTGTGCATGTGGGTCAGGAAAAACAACCGGCTGCCGGGACATTTCCGAACCTGCCAAAAGTCCACGACCAGCGGGGTGTCCGGGATGACTTTTCCATTATTAGACATGGCTCGTTGTTTCGCTGTAAATCAGCCAAATAAATAATACAGGCTCTTTCCAGTATTAACGCGTTGCTTAGGAACAAATCATTTCAAATGTGAGCTAAGAAGCCCGCCTGTTACAGTCTGCATTGTATTGTTTGAATACTAGCTGAAGTTATGAGCAAATGTTCAAAGGAAAATAATAAATGCGTAAACACTTAACTGGTCTTCTTTTAGAAAGCATCCATTATAAATAGCTGTACCACTAATGGACTCTGTAACCTGCCGCGCTGCTTCGCTGGACTTCATATTCCCGTTTTTCACATTTTTTTGCCAAAACAAAATCCTTAACTCCCGACGCAGTGTTTTATTTTTAGAGTTACAGTGCCATCATACCCCGCCATTTCTGTTTTCAATTGAATATTCAACGCCTTTTCCGTTTTCACCTTCTTTTCTTTGGGTCTGGCAGCTGCTTTGCTGTTTGTCGGGCACCATACTGCCATCTAGAGGTTGAACAGCGGTACTTCATCTGGGAAGTTTCGAGATCTTTGATAAAATAGTTATTTTAAAGCGATTATGACCTTTAAATATTTGTTTCTACAATCTAATCTCGAAACAAACAATGGCGGAATCAGGAGCTGCACAGATGAACTGATCAATGAGCTCCAGTCCTTTCTGCTTTTACCAGGTTTAATATTGCATCTTTGCCAGAAATGGGTAGTAACTTCTTAAATTTACTCACTTACATGTACTAGAATAACTTATTGGAAAAATGTACTTTTAGAAGCAACTTACCACATTGTGTTTTTTACCTTAGTCATATAATTAATTGTGGCTACTTTTACTTAATGTTTCTGGATACTCCCTGCCAGTTGCATTATATTAGGAACAAACACATTTGAACCAAAGATGCACCAGGCACAGATACAAACTTACAATTTATGTTAAAGTGAGACTTTTTGTTTGTAAACAGGCATTTGCACATAACTTTCTATTTTTGCCTGTTTGATGGAATCAATACGTACGTTGCCTTACTTAAAAATACTTTGAAACTCTTAGGTAATTTCTTGGATGTCTACTTTTATACTTGAGTAAAAATATTTTGGAATATAGTGCTACTTTTAGATGAGTAAAATTTTTGGGCTGTCTGTAAACTTCTGAACTTTGCACATATTTTAGTGCATTTTACAACTTACATATTGCACATATTGTTGTATCTATCATATACATATCTATAAATATTATGAATATGACTTTTTTTTCCCTTTTTTGGTGTCTTTCTTACTCTCAACATGACAGTAACCATTTTCGTTTTTAACTCGTTCAATGCTCTATTTCTTAAGTTAGTGCGATGAAATTTGAATTGTATACAGCAACCATAAAAAGCATTTTTTTTAGTGTGAATTGAATCACAAATAAATAAGATTCACTACATCAAGCATTGTCTGTCTCCAAGGGAACAGGTGAATTATGGCCCTTTTCCACAAGATGGCGCTATCAGAAAGCTAAAAACTTTGTTATTCTTAAAACAGTAATGGTAAGCTGATTTTTTTTCCAGTATATAATACCCCAGCAAATAATGACCCCAGCCAACAAGAAAAGCTTGTTTGTCTTTTTAATATAAAAGTTATGACTTTATATGTCACTGGTGGCATAGATGTTAAAAATGTACCACCAACGTATTTACAGATCATTTATTGTTTTTTTTTTGTTCATGAAAAAAACAATAAATGAATTACCCTGTCTGTTGTGTTTGTTTTCCAGGTTATTAGGCAGGAAAGAGGATTCACCTGAATGAGGTCATCCCTGTAGTGATGTCAGCAGCTGTTAGTGCCCAACCCCCACATATCTGGTTTCACAATGCTCACGTTTTGTAATTATACTTCTCACTGGAGCACAATCCCTATTCCACGGCACATTGTGTATCACTTCCTCCTAGAGTGGAGTCCTTTAATAACTCTCTGCTTTACTGGTAATTATCCTGCTCTCCCGTGTCCATGCTGCGAGAAACATTATTTGGTTATTACTTTGACGGCTCACTTCTGCACAGATCAGGGCTCTGGCTGCGGTACGCAGTCAGGACATAGTTAAGCAGCCAATCAGTGAGGTGTGAAAAAAAATTAATATCGGCTGAACAGTTGGTGTTTAAACCTGAGCAACGCTTTGATCTTATGGAATATTTAGGATTGCTATGCTGTAGGGAGAAGTAATATTTATACCTATTAAACATTTTCACGCTTTGTGAACATACCGCAAATGGCGATATATTTTATTGAGATTTTATGTGACAGACCATAACCGGACATAACTGCAAGGTAAAATGATACGTGGTTATGTGCTGAGACACCTTTACTGTGATGCCACTAAAACAATCCACATAATCTGTTACCCATTTAGAAGTAATTTATTTTGGTAAAACAAGAGTCCAGCTATTCTGTGAAAAGCTCTGAGGTTCAGTGAGCATTAGCAACCACACAGAAGAAGCATAAAGGTCAAGTGACACAACAGGCAAGCTAGGGATACATTTATAGGAAAAGCTATAAAACACAATCTCCCAAACTTCCACTATGTCCAGGAGAACAATATTTCTGTCCATCATCTCAAAAGGGAAAAATAATGACACAGCGACAAGCCTATGAATATGCGGTCATCTGCCTAACCTGAGAGGTGAGCATTAATCCCAGAGGCTTCAGGTCTTTCTCATCTGGAGGAACACCAAAGATCCAAAGCCCAGGAGAAAGATTAGGAGCAGAATCTGTTGGTCTAATAGCTACACTCTTCACAAATCAGCCCTTTATTCTGCAGCAAGAAGAAAACCATTGTTCAAAGACAGTTTTCCCACAGCAAACACATGGGTGAACCTTTTGGGTTGTCAATAACTAAGTGTGCAAGACACTAACACCACACATTGAAGTGATGTGACAGTGGTGATGGTGGAAGGAATTTGCAATCAGTAGGTTGGCAGTTTGATTCCCTCTTCCTCTATCATTGTGTCCTTGGACAAGAGGACACTTCACCAACCTTGACTGTTGGTGGTGGTCTGAAGGCCGGATGGTGCGATGCAGCAACCTGATTGGTATGAACAATTATTTTATTGTGCAAATCAGGTAAAAACGTACCCCAAAGTGCTTAAGGCTGTAATTGCCGCAATAGGTGGCTGTAAAGAAATGACTCAGAGTACAAATACAGCCAAACCTTTTCTCTACAATAAAAACATGACATCGTTTTGATTACAACGTGGGAAAATGCAAAGATTTTTGAGGTTGAATAAACAATTTTGTAGGGCGCTGTATTGTATAGTTTCCTGCCTCTCTTGATTTTACATGAAAACATTGCAACAAGGATGGAATAAGCAGCCCTGTTAGGAGGTGTCAAGCCAAAGGTCGCAGAGGTCAGCAGAATAAGTTGGCACCAGGCAAAACTGCTGTCAAACAGCGGCAGAGATGCAGAGAAAACAGATGGCTGCACAGTCTGCAGTCTGTCGCTGCCAATATCACAGGAAGTGCTTTAAATACTCTGAACACTTGTATGGATCCTCACTGACTTATTGAGACCTTATTTGCTCATAAGCTGTCATTTAAATTTTGTTGAAGGTATTTACAAGCATTGCAGGTGTCAAGTCCTGTGAAATATGCAGCTGCGCTTTGATGACTAAATTAAATCAGTGGCCCCACTAAACCATCCCACACCCAGCCTTCCTGTAAATTCTCTCATCTCCTGGCTTCGCCTTTTATTCATCCCGTGGGAATTAAGAGCAGAACAGCCCTGGTCTTTCTGCCCATTCATCAGAATCAACAAATTTGTTCAGTCGGGGGTGATGGAGGTTTATGCCTTATTATGTCTCTCCAGGGATGATGCAACGGTCCTGCAAACAAACTCCCGAGTTATTTGTGGAAATGTGCGAGGAGCTAAAAATATTCATGTTTGCTCACAACAAACTGGCCACTGCTGAAGATACTAATCCAGAATTTGGCAAACAATCTCAGTGATCCATCTGCTTACTTTTCTCCCTACCATGTCACTCTCTTTCCTCTACAATCCTTCCGTAGTAAGTCTTTGTTTTTCTTCTTTACTCCATTCCTGCCAGCTGTCGTCCGCAGCATACTCGCAGTATGTCATCTTTTGACAGGCCAGCCCACTTGCACAATGTGATAATGCAGCAGTGTGACTGCTGCGTCTTCTGTCTTGAGTGACCACCCTCTTATTCAGCATCCGTCCAAGATTATTTCTTCAATTTTAAGCCATGATAAGGCCCCACATGTGTGGGCGGACTTGGCTGTTTGACTGATTTCATTAGTTCCTTGAGATTATCAAAATGTTTCTGAAAGTCCTATACAGGCCTGCAAAGGAAAGCGCTTTAGCGGATCCATATTATGCACAAGCAATCATCATATGACTTGCTGTGGCAGCAGAGCTGTACGAAGGAAGAAAAATGACATTAATCGCCTTCCTCTGGAGCTCTGAATGTTTCTGAATTTCTCAGCGTAAGATGCAGGAGAGGGGGAGTCCTAGCAGAAGAGGGCTGAGAGTTTTCATAGAGAGCACCAAGGGTTGTAGCTGTTCATTAATTCTCTCCATCTATGCAAGAAGGTGAGCCAATTTATCAACCAGACTAGTCTTTAATGGAAACAGATGCAACCCAAACACCTGAAGGAAGGAGTAAACAAATTATTATTAATCTTCTGTGCTTATTAAACCATTACAACTGAGTGATATAGGTGTACTTGAATTTTGCTGTAACACACCTTTGCTTTGCTCCCTGATGGGTTTTCCACGGGATACAGGTTTGGGATGTACAGAAGAGATAATACATTCCTTCAAAATTATGCATTTATCTGTTACTAATGTACACTTTTCAAGAATACAAAACTGCAAAACAAAAAGTCCAGTTTTACACTTTGAAAATGAACAATTGTTGCGGTTTTGCTAAATATTTGTCACAGACTTCTTGTTCTAATTGCCACCACATTTACAGCAGCCCTGACAGCTGGTTGACAGCTCCTCAAAAAATGTCTGTCAATAGGAACATCAAGCTGTCAGCCCATTTTACTCTTGAGGACAATAATAAAAAGCATCATTCAAAATCTGAATCTAAAATATTTTCTTCAAGATTGTTGGTGGGATGAGAACAGATTGACAAACTAGGGCCTCATCTGGTTCAAAAGATAAACCTTAAAGGGAGCCTCTCATTTTACAAGTCCATCTTTATTCCAACCCTTTGACTCATGAAAGAACGAGATGTATTGGTCTTTTTCTCCATTGTTTTGCTGAACTGTGGTTTAGCGATACCGTGAGCAGGACGGTTATCCAGTGAGAAATCAGAGTAGATCTTGTGCTTCTTTTCCTGAAAAGAGTCATCTTCAGTTTGGTCATCTGATCAGCGCCTTTTTACAGAGGTTTCCCCCACTGGATTGAGTTATGTCAACTTTTCTGTCAG